GACTCGAACCAGCACCCACTGGGGATGCTGGCGCTGTAGCTGGCAGCTTAACCTGCTGCACCACAACACCGGCACGCAAGACCTGGCTGTTTTTGTGGGACGGGGTTTTTATTATTATCTCTCTACAAGCTGTGACCAGTATTTGTATAAACAATATAACAAGCAAATGAGGGGATAAGTTAGTGAGGACACTGTTAGCGTCCACAGGGGCAAGTTACTCTGACCATCGCTACGGAAGTTTTCTAGATCCTGTTCTCTCCCAGCACGGGGCAGGGAGCAGCCTGGGCCACGGTCCACACTTTGCTTAGTCCAGAGTGAGTGCAGTGAGGGCGCCTGGCCACTGCATCGTCCACCCACGGGGAGCCCCTGCAGTGCAGCCCCACCCCCTGGCCTTGCCCTACCTGGAGAAAGACCCTGAGGCTCACAATGGCTCCTAGCAGGCCAAGGTCACACAGCTCCCGAGTGCCAGCCCTCTCTGACCCTTCTGACCGAGCCTTGAGCAGGCCGGTGGGGCAGGGAGGTGAAGGAGGCGAGAACCGCCCAGCACTGCCCTGCCCCGGCATGAGCGTTCGGGGTTTGTCGCCCCAGATGGGCTGCACGGACGGGCCATTCCACCACAGCCAGCAGTACCTCAACGTCCTCTGCGCCAACATGATGGACGTGAACCGGAGGATTGAGGCCATCGGATACACCTTCCCGACCCAGGACCTCTTCCTGGAAAACAGTGAGCCTGCGTCCTGGCCTCTGGACAAAGCAGCAGGGCTTCCGCAAGGGGGACACACACATGCACACAGGGAGGCTGCCAGATTAAGCAAACAAGAACACAGGGTGCACCGTTAAATTTGAACTTTACATAAGCTGCAAACCAGCTGGTAGGATAAGTATATCCCAAATACTACATGGGATATACTTATACTACAAACTGCCATTTGCTGTCTATCAGAAACCCAGAAGTAGCTGGACATCCTGTATTTTGCCTGGCGCTGTGTGATTGCTTATGGCTGACTGAGGGACGGAGCCCTGAACAGACTGACTGGCTAGCAGACTGGCAAAAAGACCCTCAAAGCCTTAGAGACGCAGAGCCCCCAGGTGGCCACTCCTGGCCTGGATATCCAAATCCTCCACTGACTTGACTTCTGAGCACCATGAGGGACCCCCTCTGGGGGACGCAGGCCACAGGCGGAGGGGGCCCGGGTCGCTAAGGCACAGCCTTGGCTGCCTGCCTCCTGGTGTTGCTGAGCCCCTGCGGGAGGAGGGGCGGGGGTGGGCCCGGGGGACAGGGCTGCAGAGGGTCCGCTGTGTTCCCTTGCAGTCATGTTCTGTGGACTGGCCGGCTTCTCCGACTTCTACAAGCACCGGTGGCTGGAGGCCATTGTCAGCTGGCAGAGGCCGCAGGAAGGGTGCTTCGGGAAGCCAGGTGAGGCAGCTGCCCCACCCCCACCCCTTGGCTGGGGGCTGGGGACTGGGAACTGGGGGCTGGGGAAGGGTGTACTGGTGGTAGGGGCACAGAAGGAGATCTGTAGCACGCGTGTGCATGCGCGCACACACACACACGCACAACTTGGAAGTGGGTTCGGAGCCACATGTCTGCAGGTGCCTTGCCTGCACCTGAGTTAGACCCATTCTTTCAGTGTTTCCTGGGCACCCACTAATGCACCCTGCACTGGCAAGACTCAGGGGAGCCAGGGCCTAGGGGAAAGAGGCAGAAACCAGTTGAACAAAGCAGGAAGTGAGGGCATTCCGAGAGGTGATGGGGGCTGTGCAGGAGGCAGTGGACTGAGAGGGCACTGGGCAGGTTCTGAAGGCAGAGTGGTCAGGGAAGGCCTCCTGGAGGAAGACCTCTGACAAGGAGCAGAGGTCACGCCCCTTCCAGCCACATGGGGGACGTCACTTCAGCTCTCTGAGCCCTGAGTCCCCGTCTGGAAACAAATGAGCGCAACAGTGACCCTGAGCCATGAGAGCAGGACATGGCATGGCCAGTGCCCGGAGTCCTGGAGTCGGGGGAGGAACTTGGTCTCAGAGCCGCAGAAGCCTTGCAGCAAGAGCACCTCCTTTCACAGCCGAGTGTCCGGGAGGGAGCGTCTCGGGCCCCCAGACCTAGGGAGCGGGGCAGGTCGGGGTGGGGGGCTGTGGACGGCAGCCCAGGAGGTTCTGACGCCGCCGGAGGCTGGGGCCACCACCTGAGGATCCCTCAGCCGATGACGAAGCCAGGCTGTGGGGAGAGAGCCGCGGAGGGGAGCGGGAGACCTCGGGAACAGCTCCACGTTCAGCGGAAGACGGGAGTTGTGGGAGGGGAGAGGGGCGCGGGGCCAGGTTCAGGGAGGACGTCTCCAAGTCCCTCTCGACCTGGCGCTGTCTCCCAGCTGCTACAGGTGAGGCTGCGCCCAGAGCACCCCAATCCCCACAGCGCCTCCTGCGAAGAGTGAAGAGGCAGGAAAAGGAATTCACAGGTAAGGCAAAGACTGGAGCCAGGACCCAGCCCTGGGGCCGTGTCCACTCCCTCTCTCCTGGACACAGCGGCTGTCCATGGAGCGAAGGCCGCTGGCGTCCCTGGGGGGCCTTGGTGTTTGGGCGGGTGGGCGCCTCTGATCCTCACCTCTCAGGAGCTGATCTGGGGTCCAGAGATAACTCTCTGGGTCAGGAAGCCCAGACGTTTCACTGCAAGGCGGGGCAGTCTCAGAGGTGATCCTGGGTCGCATCTCCCCAGGGAGGCAGGACTTGCACGGGAACTTCAACGGCAGGAATTGAACACAGGGAACTTGCCCGCAACGTGCAGGGAGAGCTGACAGCGCAGAGAGGGGGAGACTAACCCGCGCGGAAGCTGGGGGGGGGGAACACGGTGGGAGGGGGTGGCGGCAGGCCCTGCGCAGGCTGGACACGGAGGAGACAGAGGGAAGAGGGGAGAAACTCGCTGACGTCTCCCTCACTCTGCCTGTGCTTCCTCCTGGCCAAACTTCTGCCCTGGCTAGCTGACCAGACGGGATGGAGGGGCCTATGGGGTGGCCATCAGGAAACGCACTGAGGCACCACCAGGGCGGGGAGCTTGGCTGCACTGCCCGAGCCTCAGCCTGCCCGTCTCAGAGGGGCTCGTGGGGGGGGGAGACAGGATTCAGTGTGTGAGCTTGATGAAGCAGCAGAGCCCGGGCAGCAGGCCTGGCCGGGGGAGGAGCTGCACGGGATGTGGCCCCGGGGTGGGGGCGGGAGGGGGAAGGGGACGTTGGGGCACAGATGGCACCGCAAGGCCCTCCCCTGGCACAGGACACGGCAGCCGGGCGTGTGAGGCATCTGGGAGCCGGTGAGACCTCTCCCGGAGGAAGCAGGAGTCACGGGCAGCGACACCCCAAGAAGCCGGCCGGTGCAGCCGCGTGTGCTCCCCGGGCCTAGCAGGCCGAGGGGTGACGTGCTGAGCGGTACGAGGTCTCCATCGCCCGCACTCACCCGAAGGGGTGCTTTTCTCTGCAGATGGCTGCCTCGCCCACCAGACCACCACTGCCGTGGCTGCCCTGGGGGGCTTTCTCTACATCCTGGCTGAAGACCCCGGGGAAGACGGAGCCCCGCCACCCCGAGCAGCACCTGAGCCCACTGTCCACAGATGAGCAGCCTCTTCCTGGGGCCCCGGGGGCCTGGGTCACTGCCTGTTGGGACAGAGATGAGCAGCAGCCCAGACCCCCACCTGAGGTTGCCGGGAAGCTGAGTGAGCAGGGCCAGGGAGGGCGTGGCTGGGGGGCCCCAGGCCGAGCAGGTAAATACACCGACAGCACCACTGGGGCCCGAGTCCAGTCTCGTTTCTGCGCCCTAAGGACACCCTTGGATGACCTCCAGGGCCCTGTCTGGAGTCTCCAGGCCCCGGGATTCCGCGCCTGCATCCATGCTCTGGGGCCACAGCCTGGGAGGTTCAAGGACAACAGGCGTCTGTCTACGTAACTGCTCACAGTCCCAGGGACAGGAAGTCCCAGAGGGTGCCGTGCCACAGCGTGGCAGGGGTGGGCACCAGGAGGCAGAGGGAGGGCAAGGGGGGCTTAAACTCCCCGCCCCCAGGACAAACCCACTCCCCTGGTCATAGCAGACCTCGTCATCTCTTAAAGTCCCACCTGGTGACACCGTTACAACGGTGATTAAACTATCCCGGTCAGCTCCTGGGATGACGGCAGAACACCTGACACCGGAGCTGTGCCCCGCCCAGGCTCGCGTGATCACGGGCACACCCCAGGGACCCGGAGGTCTCCCACCAGGCCACCTCTCTCTTGCTGTGACTGGACCGGATCTCCCCCCCAGTACCATTAACAGTGACATCGGGAATCTGACACGGAGCCCACGGTGACCCAGCACCGGCAGTCTCGGCACAGCGGTGAGAACTGTCTGCAGGCCGGATGCTGTGTGGCCTGGGGGCTTGTCTTGAAGCCAGGGAGGGGCAGCGTCTCCTCCAGAGCTTACAGCCCCTCCCTGGGTCCCACCCCAGCCGGAACTCAGCCTTTGCAAGGAGACCTTCCGGTGTGGTCTGCTACGCTGGGGACAAACAGGCTGCGTGCAGGCAGCCGACACTCAGACCCAGGGTAGCAGCCCAGCCACAAACCAGACCTTGGGCAGGAAGCTCAACAGTATGTGTTAATTTGGGCCATGCAGCTGGTGCAATTCAGCAAAGCAGTATTTATAACTGCACACCGGATGATATGACATCCACACTATCTAGATATAATGCGATGGCCCCTGAAGCCAGCTGATCCCGGACACTGCTGGCTCCCCTCGAGGCCGCCTGAGATCCTGCACCCGCGCGGGGCTGGGTCCCACAGACCACGGAGTCACGGTCCCGAGAGACGCAGAGGGGCCGAGACGTGCCCAGGCCCGGGGAGCGGCGCGGGACACTGCGGGACAAAACCCGTCCGGTCCCGCAAGTCCCGGGGCGAGGGCAGCGCGCGAGGACGTGTGTGTGACTCAGGGCCCACGTGAGCCAGCCCGGTCCTGCCGCTCTCGCGACTTCCTAAAGTTTCAAGTTACGGCAGAGAAAAAAGTCCTCTCACTTTCTCGGCCCCGCGCCTCCAGCACCAAGAACCGAGGCCACAGGGAACTCAGCGCTCCGCCACCGCCCGAGTCACGTGGGGCGAGGCCACGTGACCCGCGGCCCGGGCCCAACATGGCGGCCTCCACGGGTCGCTGGCTTCTCCTCCTGCTCGTGCTGCCCGGGCTGCCAGGGGGTGCGTCCGACGGCCTCGGCTCGGGGTGAGTGCAGGGCCGGGAGGTGTCGCGCACGCGGCGGGGTCCCCCCGCCCGTCCCCCGACACCGGCCCGGCGCCCCGAGCTCACGGCCGCCCGCTGCCCGCAGGCCCTCCCGCGACGACGACCTGCTGCTGCCCTACCCGCGCGCGCGCACGCGCTCCCCCCGGGACTGCGCGCGGGAGCGCTCCGGCCGCGGCGATCACGAGAGCTGGCCCCCGCCAGCCGCGACCCCCGCCGCCGAAGGCCCGGCCGTGCGCAGCTTCGTGTCGCACTTCGCGGGGCGCGCGGTCTCCGGCCACCTGACGCGGGTGCCCGCGCCCCTGCGCACCTTCTCGGTGCTGGAGCCCGGCGGGCCCGGCGGCTGCTCAGCGAGGCGCCGCGCCACCGTGGAGCATTCAGCGCGGGCGGGAGGGATGCCGGGCGGAACAAAAATGGCGGCTTCTTTCCACATGAACATCCGATAAATTGCCTTGGAGTACCCGGATAAGCAAAGGGGGACTGGTGGAACAGCTCCCGTGGTTTTGCATAA